AAAATCGATAAAATCAATAAAAGTAATCGATAATTCTGGAAACTAATATTGTATTCGGAATCCCCATGCTCGATTACCCCCCTGTGCCAACTCCTAGCCCTGTAGGTGAATTCTGCAAAAAAATCGATAAAAATCGGTAAAATCGACATCGATCGATAACGAAAAGTGGACTGTGACACCCGCCGGGGCCCGAAGTGTATGTGTGCCAAGTTTGGTCCGGATACGGCGGAGCCGGGTAAGCCAGCTAGTACATATATAAAGACAAAGAGGCATTCAGCTTTATATATAAAGTAATGCGCTCTCTATGAATAAAAACCCACTCAATCTTACCTTTCTAGGGGACAGACTTTAGGTAGAAAAAGCATGGGAAATTAGAACAAAGGATCGGGTTCCAGCTCAGCTCGCACTCAGTTGGAACGGTTTCAGTTAATGTGGGAAAAAGGTGTACAAGCGTATTACGCACTATGTTTGGTGTTGTATCATTGCCTATTGTATTGTAAACAAGCTTCTGTTTGTTTTGAGGTATAATTTTGATACCCCCGCGCTGTGCTCGAGCATGCCGCCGTCCTGCTACTTGTTACTATACCATTGGCACACCAACGGCGGCACGCTATCAAACAGCTATATAGACTAAACGTGCAGTTAGCGTGCCGGCAGCTTGCCGCGGCGTGCTCCCGACATGCTAACAAGCAGCGGCACGTTAACCCACAAAATATTTTCTTTGCTTTCTTTCTCAAAAACAATGTCGAGCTGACCTGGTTTCAGCTGCACCGAGCTCTGGTTCTTGTGCGCAAAATATTCTCGATAGTCGCCTTGATTGATCCGTTTTGTTGTAATCAACACAAAAACTTTTCGATAGATGTGGGCAGAATCCGACAATCTGACGAGATAAGAGCTCACCTGGACGCTCGCTACGTATGCTCGCCAGAAGCACTTCATCACATTTTCATGTTCGGAAGCCAATTTAAATCCGCTACTGTTTACCGCCTTCCCGTACACCTTCCCGACTTCCAGTTGGTGACTTTTCAGTCAGGTGGGGAACGAGAAGCAGCAGAACGCGAGGCAAGCAAAGACTCCATGTTAACAGCTTGGTTCAAGCTTAACATCGAATACGAGCTTATGGAAAATCAGAACATTATATGTGATGGTGTAGATGCTCGCAATCTTTGCTACCATCAGCTGCCTGAGCACTTCACTTTTGTGAACGCACGTAAATGGAAAAGAAGGGGAAGAGGAAGTCGCCAGATTGGACGCATGTATATGGTGTCTCCCGCAGAACCAGAGAGATTTGCTCTACGTATTTTGCTCCTTCATCGGAAGAACATGCATTCTTTCGAGGACCTTCGCACTGTCGAAGGTAATGTGCATTCTACATTTCTAGATGCAGCGAGAGCTTTGGGATTTCTGCGTGACGATTCCCATTACGAGAGCTGTTTGGAGGAAGCTACTCAGTTTCAAATGCCTGCGCAATTAAGGGCGTTGTTTAGTTATATGCTGGCGTTCTGTGAAATGTCTGATCCACGACACTTATATGATCGCTTCAAGGCTGACATGGCTGAAGATTTTAGTCATGGGGGAGCTACAGCATCTGATGCAGAAGCACTTGCGTACTACGATCTATATGATAGACTGCAAATACTGCGTTACGACCTTCCTGCCAGTATCACTCCACCTACACACATTCGACCAGTACTACAGGACCAAACTGACTACGCTTCTCACGAGGAAAAAGGCAGGGAAATGTATCAGTGCCTCAATAGGCAGCAGAAATCAATCGCAGACAGTATTCTAGCTTCCTTTGATTCGAATGCGTCTAAGCTACACTTTGTCGACGGTCCTGGAGGCAGCGGAAAAACCTATCTTTACAATTGCCTATATCATGTGTTGAAAGGAAAACACAAGTCTATCATCTGTGTCGCGTGGACAGGAATTGCAGCAAATTTGTTACCTGAAGGCAGGACAGCCTGCTCAACATTCAAGTTGAATATGAGGTCTGGAAATCGAGAGAGCACATTGAGACGTGAATCTAAAGAGGCCATCCCTCTAAAAGAAGCAGATATAATCATCTGGGATGAAATCAGCATGGTTTCAAAATTTTCTTTGGAGGCAATCGATCGTCTTTTCCAGGATCTGATGTGCAACACTAAGAATTTTGGAGGAAAGACTGTAGTCTTGGGCGGGGACTTCCGACAGGTGTTGCCTATCATAGAGCGTGGAAGGGATGCTGATATGGTTGATGCATGCGTAAAAAATAGCGACCTCTGGGAGTTTTTTCGCATGCATCAGCTTTCAGTCAACATGAGATCCGCAGAATCTGGCTCTTCTTGGTGCGATTTTTTGATGAGAGTTGGAAATGGAGAGGTAGAAGAAGACGAAATGGGACGAATAGAGATTCCAGCAGAAATAGTCTCTAATGGCAATCTCATAGACGATGTTTTCGGTGATCTGTTGACAGACTTCCACACTTTGAGTGAACGTGCGATTCTGGCACCTCGAAATATCGACGTACATGAAATCAATGAAGGAGTTTTGGATAAACTCCCAGGACAGCTTCACGAATACTACAGTGTAGACGATGTGATTAGCGATGAACCGCAAAACGATTTTACCAGCGAATTTCTCAACAGTCTCACCCCAACAGGAATGCCCCCACACAAACTAAGGTTAAAAGAAGGCGCTATAGTCATGCTTTTGAGGAATCTTGATGTTCGAAATGGATTGTGCAATGGAACAAGACTGATTGTCACACACTTCAAACGTTTTGTTCTGGGATGTAGATTTGCATCAGGAGATCGGAAAGGAAAATGGGCCCTAATACCACGTATCGACAACTTTACAGACAAAGGTGTACCGTTTCGATTGAGAAGGACGCAATTTCCTGTTCGTTTGTCATTTGCAATGACAATAAATAAAGCTCAAGGCCAGAGTTTCACGAAAGTGGGTATCTCCCTTGGAACGGAGATATTTTCACATGGACAATTATACGTCGCCTTATCGAGATGTCGAAGTAAAGAAGGAGTCAAAGTGTATAAGAAAGAGGAAAGAGTGAGGAACGTCGTCATAAGAGCAGTTCTCAATTAATCCTTAACTAACGGCGTTCAAAGCTCAAAGATCATATGCCGAAATCAAGATTGTGCCATTGCGGCCCATTTATTATTTCACGATGCACAGTTTTCCTGCATGCTCCTTGCAAGAAGATCAACAGAGTCCGCAAGCAAGGTATGGCAAAAAACAAAGTCATTAAACTTCGTTAATTCACATTTTCAGCAAACATGTACGTGTACGTACCCATGCGCAAACAAGAGAGAACATAGCGCAAAAAAACAGAGCAGGGTGGGTTTTATTGAGTTGTGGTTCAATATTTTTTCAAATTACAGTTTATCCCGTCTACCTCATTCGCAAGCAAGATACGGCAAGTCCGCAAAATCAGTGCACTTTACACGATTTGCTTTTAAGCTATACGTGCCTTTGCTTATGCGAAGAAAGGGAAAATTCACGGCTTAAAAGAGTGCATGGTAGGTTTTGTTGATATGCTTCAGTATTCTCTGACACGCTTCAAAACCCAACTTACAGGTGCTCTCGCCTACAGACTTATCCATCGCGCAAGTCCTGTGTCTTGGTAACGTACAATTTTCGTCTTAAGGGCCTGGCATACTTACGCGATTTCACTCGCGACGCAATTTGGCAATTCGCCAGAACTCTTCAGATCCAACCAAGCAAATTGCACATGTATGGTATGTATAACTTACTTGGATTGATAAAATGCGCAAATTTCTGTACATCTGAGATATGCTTACAGTGAGTTGTGGACAGTTGGAATATTGCCAAGTCGCGTCGCGACTGAAATCGTGTGAAGTGTGCCCGGCCCCTCACACTTTGTCTTCTCGAGATCAGGAACGTCGGATCACGAGAAACCATGCATCCTGCATTAAATCTGTTTTTCTTGAATATAGTAAACTCGCATATTTTTGATCATTTGTCGGTTTAATATTCTTCCACCTCGATTACTGTCTCCCACATCTTTTCAAAACTTATACATGCATACCTACTCAACTCCTCATATAAAGACTTCTAACGCCACAAAACTTTCGACACATCCCACTCCATTCCTCACACACACAGCCAGTCCAAAGCGCCGCGAAGCGGCGCTTTGGACTGGTTACTTATAAATGGAATCTAGCAGATACTTAGTAATTGCCCGTATACGCACAAAGAAAACTGATTTACGACTCCCCTGATCCTGTCGTACGGTTTTTGACGAGCATACTCATTTTTTGCAATTGAACTCATACTAGAATGCCCACGTTACAAAAAAGGAGGACCTATAACATAATTTATGACTGTTTTAAACCTTGTTTTCCGAAACATTTGACTCGTTGTTCGACCAATACTATTCTCAAGACCATTCTCAAGACTTTTTCATCCCTTGTGCGATGAAAAGCAATCGAGATATGGACTTTGAACAGAGATCAAAACTTTCGTATAGATAAAACTGAGTAATAGGAATAGAGTTTACTGTACCATTTGCACACTGCAAGCATAGGAGATCAAAGCAGATTACGTTTTCTTGGGCCAATTATCGTTTATAGACCTTATCCTAAGCTGTTGCTTACAGCTACACAAGCATCTCTTTCTCCTGGCATTTTGTTCCTATGTTGCGACAGTAGCGCGATTTCACAATTATTCATTTTCTTTCTATGTTCCATCCTCTCTATTAGCCATGTAATTCATTTGATGAAAAAATTCTCAGAAACGTCATTTCTTGCAGTGCAAGAACTACTCCACGAAAAGCAGAATATCAAATTTTGCTTTTCTGTGAAAGTGGGACGAGCAACAACATTACGTTATCTTATGTGCGATGATGGTTCCACGTCTCAGGTTTGCTTAGGGTAATTTTACAATATTTCCAGAATAGGGGAATCCTAAATTCGAGACAATCGCCATTGTGCTGACAACAGAAGTTTTCATATCAACTCAGCTTTATAATAAAATAAGCGACCAAAATTTTTATTCTACCCTGGTAATTATATTCAAGGAATCACACGACTTTTTGAAATTCAAGCTGCTCGTCGATGGTAATCTGAGAGCAATAACTATGGTATAAAATGTATGTTAGCCATTCAACGAAAAGGAAACAAGCTTTGCGAAATAGAATAGATACGAGTTATGAGAATAAGGGCTGGTCACATCTTCTAGAGAAATCGCGTAACCAAGCGATACATGTCCAGAATAATCTTATGTGGATTCTGGGCATGTGTAGGTACGCAGCGCTTCTATCTCGCTCTCCAGAAGGTCATCCCATTTTGTCGAAAGGCGATTTGCTTTAGGACAATCTGCAATAAAGGGCGAAGGGCTCCCCGTCTGGTATCCTGCAAGTTTACAAATGGTTCATTGTTCTATTCGCATCATAACCTCGAAATCTGTAGAAATCTACTCAAGTCCTTGACATCTCTTACCTGCCAAGAGATACTCTTCCCCGACTTCAAGTACGATTCCACCGCGTCCATCCGAAGGCATTCTAGATAAAACTGTTTGTGGAGGCTCACCTTCCTTTTTCTAAAAGCAATGAGACATTATTCTCAACAAAATCAGATCTGAAGAATTGAAATGTCTTGCTTGCCAGAAAAGAGTTTTTTCTTCAAAATGAAGGACCTAGAACTTCTACGGGGTTAGGTTTTGAAAAAAAAACACCTTCCTTTTCAAAAAGTTGATCGCCATCTCAGACAATTATTGCGCGGCTCCTAACACTGCCTTTTGGCGCGGGCGTTAAATTTTTGGATTCACCATCCGCGGCCCCTAAAGTTATTTGTTTGGCAACGCGCGGCTCAATGTTATCGCGAGGGAAAGACGGCGGGCCTTAAATGTTTTGTCGGAATACCCGCGGCCCAAGGAAAAGCACTCGGGCTAGCCACGGGCATTACAGGACATCCTGCATATTTGATTTTCGGGCAAGCCCCGGCCCTTTACGCCACGTCCCGACGGAATCACTCTGGCCTCGGGCCTAACTGGACGCCGCAATTCTTACACGCTGTAAGAGAAGTCGTCACTTGCGTAAGATACGCCGCGGTGATAGGGCTACCCTCAACGTTTATCATGTGATTTATAAGTCAAGTGTCAGGTTCTCGTCCTCAGCACTGTATCGAGTGACTTATGGGAGTCCTTATTTTGGAACTCGATGGGGATTGAATGGAATTTTGGTAAGTAATCTAGACGTCAAGTTCTGTTTTTGTGTAGATCTTTATGCTAGGCTGATGAGACATGTTCAAAATCCATAATTCGGATACCGGGTGGGTATAGGGCCACCCGCGGGTGCATATCGCGCATTTATCGGGCGCTTGCAAGGACATCCGCGGGTGTCATTCGAGTGCTTATCGGCGCATCCACGGGTAATTCTCGCCCGCTCAGTGTGCGTTTATTGTTCCACCCGTGGATGAAACGTCGGCGGGGCCTTTCCGTGGGCGGTCGCAATAATTGTCTGAGATTTTGAAGTTGTACGGGTCAATTCAATCTGACTTCACAACACAACGACATTTACCCTAAACGTTTCGATATGTTCTAGAGTATAAATGTCTGGATCTGCATCAAGAACTTTCCTTGTGACCTTCACATGAGACACTGAAAAGGAAGAATGCTACAACACAAGCATCAGAAACAAAATTTAAAATTCATATGCTTACCCCAATCATATTCGCAAAATGCGTCCTTCCGTGACGCAAACTCAGGGCAAATACCCTCATCGGCATAAATAGTTGTGATGGAGAGGAGTAAAAACGCAAATCTCTTCATTTTTACTGCTGCAATTCAGTGGCTCAAATGTTCAGTTTTTCTGCAAAGTACCATAATCTTTTGAAGAGTCAATATTAGATAAATTGCTAAATGCCAAATGCTAGTACTAAATTAGGCTGGAAAGTAAGTTTTGAAACTACTTTAGTAACTTTTTTCAACATGGCGCACTTAAATACCATTATGTGACGCTGTACGCAGGCTACGATGAATTTGAGAATCGTAGATATTTTCAAAATTTGGGGGAATTTCTGAGTGCTTCGAGTTTCTAACAAAAGCGAAGTCTCAAAACATCAGCAAATAAGGTTTGTTAACAATCATGAACATTCGCCTCAAGTGTACCTACATGTGTACGCAATTCAACATTTGAAATGCCGAGAGCGAGCGGCGCTATAACAATGAGAATTCAAATTTAGATAATTCACAAAATCAAAATAGCATCGCCAAACTTCAGTAATTCACGAAGATGACATTGCGTTAGCAAGTGGAGGGGGGGGGAGAATAGAGTGAATTCAAGACTCCTCTACCCAAAAAAAGGGAAAGAACTGTTGCTTTATTTGCAATTTGTTTTTAACTCAAAGAAGATATCGTATACAATCAAATGGATTTCCCTGTAACTAAGTGCACCTGGTGTGCAAACTCTATACCTGAAATCAGCGACTCTTATCAGCCCAACATTGTTTACTTCGTTTTTGAGGTGAAATGAGACTTAAAACGCTTCAAGACCCTCCAACGTCCCTACTAATCCCATAGCAACGAAGAAAGATAGAAAATTCGCTCCATAGTGTAGCTAAGCTGAAGCCAACTCTACAGAATGGTGCCCAAAGGACGACAAAGATATCGAAGCAGGAGAGTTATTGAAGATCAACCAGTGTGCACATTTTTGGGATTCCTTGTATTATACATGCTTGTATGTACGTGCATACCATTTGCGCTAGTAATGAGTATTTTGGCTAACAAGTCAAGTCGAAGGATTTTCTTTACTTTGGACCGATGTTTTGCCAATGCGCTCGCCTAAGACACATATTTTGATTTCATTGTCCAAAATCATCCTTGAGTTGCTTACAGCGCTCAGGCACAATAAAGGACCTAATACAAGACCCGAAAAGTTTCGAAAGTTATGAAATTGAAATAAAACTAAAATGAAGCTACTTTTCATTTCCATATTCCGTGCAATTGAATGCGAAAGTTTGTGCTGGGAAAACGGCTAGAAAGAGGGGTTCCTCTCTCAATCCGTCTCGTATGTATATTGGAACCAGTCCGCCTTATACGGTATGATGCAAAGCAGAGGAGAGAAGCAGCTGAGCTCAAGAAGTATGAAGTACATAGGTGAGGTGAAAGAAAGTGCTGAAGTGGAAAGAATCAGCAAAGAAAATGAATAGTATCTTAGGAGACTTACATATATACTCAACTACAAACGGATAATGGTCATTTAAAGACGTCCAGACAGGTTTCTATAAAGTTAAGCAAATAACCATTAGACAAGTACCTAGGTGGTCATTTCTTTGAAGATTTATCGTCAGTTAAGTCCAACGGACCTTTTGTAGATGAAATGAAAATGTGATTGTAGAGTACGTAAATCATTGTTTGTTGAGATCTAAACCTGTTCGGAGGAGTTCCTGAGCGACATACATAGCAATAAAACTAACTAGGCAATGGTCAGAACTCCTTCTGGTCAAACCAACCAACCTGTAAATCATGGCACTCGACTTGAGAGGTTGATTTCAAACATTCAGGGTGAGCCCAAATTATTACGTCAACTGTAGCGGCGCCGCAAACAGCTACTATTTTGATTCTCAAATTATATCACAGAATGCTGCAGTCATCCTTTATAAAATCGTTTAATGGGCCCAAATCAATTACCATACATGTTTGCAAAAGCTAGAATCCTGCAAGTAGCACTTCAGAAGAGAGCAAAAAACAAAATTCCTGGTATTTACATTTCACTTCGTAGCTAGATATTCTTTGAGCATTCTGAAGCAGTCCCACGTCCACTATAAAGAGGACACTTTGTGCTATTCAATCATAGTAATTGCAATATTGTTTTTCTTTTCGTTTTGTCTTTGGATCGTGTTTTGAAGCTATATAAAGCTAGCTGTCACATTCAAGATCATACGGCTTAAACAAAGCTTTCGAGCTTTCGCAGGTTTCATAATTTATGAAGTTAATTCAAAACCTAATTCAGAGCAGGTTTTTTTTTCTCTTTCACACATGTCCAACTCCAATTTGTGCAATTCTTGAACTTGCGGTGTAAGCATGCCTTTTATTAGAGGTTGATAATTTTATGCTAAACATATCTAGATCTACGATCTACTAAGCTCAACATGTGTTTTTTTGCATGACAGGAGCAAATTTCGTGGAAAGGCAGAACGGATTTGACTCACCTGTGTGTTGCGCAGAACCTCGTCGGCAGGATATCTTGTAGTTTTTTCTGAAACAACACTTGGAAAATTCAATTTATTTTATAACATCTTATCGATGAGGTCATTGCACATAGCTTAACCTATCGCTGAGCTTATTTTGCACAATTTGCATTACAGAAAAAAACGAAGTACGAGCGTTGCCCGTACTCTGTTTCTCTGCGCTCCCCTCCTTGCGAAAAATATTCTTTGCTATTCCAGCTGAACAAATGCGTAATTGTGTTAGTCATTGTGTGATAGCTATGTAAGATGTACATCTAATTGCCTAGGTACTTGGATAGCACTAACGCGAGCCGTCTTCACGTGACATGGGCCCCATGCACGAAAGTTTTCAGTGCTCCTTGTCACTCTCTTTGGACATAAACAATCTTCTTGTTGTGTCGGTGGCTGTGTCCGCGAATTCCAAATTCGAAATTCGTATCCAGCTGAATTCACAACTGATCCATCCGTTCCACGGACACGTCTTCCCATCCCTTTGATGGTCTTTCACGGGGCCGTTTTGCTTCGCATGAAATCCACTCTGATGTTCCTAGTGTCCATTGTTGCCTGCTCTTTTCAAATTGTAAACGGCCCCCGATGCTTCGCTTTCGCAACGTATTCAGCTGGGTCACAAAGACGAAAGACCTTTTACCTTACTGCTTGACTAAATGTTGCTGGCGGGTCATCTTCAAAAAACTGCACTCAAGTAGTCCGTGGGGGGTGCGTAGAGCTTTTGACGTGGTTTCGACAGGCTTCTTTCTTTCTTTTCCTAGTCGGTGGAGTTAGAAGTTTTCCCCTACAAGGAAAAACTTAGTAAGCCTGCTCTTGATTTTCATATAGCGATCGCTAACCCCGGATGTGGATCGGGAACTGCCTAGCGATCTGGGAAGCCAGACGGCGAAAGATCTGGCCTGAGGCGCTCTTAGCTGAGCAGCCGGCGGAACAGAAATATCGAACTTCTTTACAGCTTAGGAGACCCGGCGGCATAGTTATGGAGCAGAGCTACGCAGCATTTCCCTGCGTAACCTAGAGGCTCCTTGCGCTGCGTCGCTCTGATTACGATAGTGCTGCTAGTGCCAGCGGATTGAGCCATTCTCCATACTCGGATAGAGAGGTCAAATGTGAAAAATAAGCGATTTTCGACATGGAGCACAAATATAGTATGAGAAAGAAGTGTCTGTTAAGCAGGCTCAAATAGACGTGAAAAAAAGGAAAATCCTCTTAGAAAGTCATTAAAGGCAGTGCGTCGCCAGAATGAGACCCGTGTTAAAGAAGGTCACAAGGTAGGAGCCCCATAATGGAACCTATGGGCCAAAGTTCGGTCTTTCTCTGCCACTTCTAGCCCCCGAAATTTCAAAGCGGAAGCAGCGCTCATCTCCTATCCTCTCCGAACCCGCCCACCCCATGGACGAGAGTCTTCCACGGTCAGAGCGCCAGCCGCAATGCTATAAGCATGAGGTCCCGCAACGACTCTGCGTCTTCGCCATGACGGGCTCCGCGTCCACTCGTCCATGGGGTGGGCGGGTTCGGAGAGGACGGGAGATGAGCGCTGCTTTCGCTTTGAAATTTCGGGGGTTAAAAGTGGCAGAGAAAGATCGAAGTTTGGCCCATAGGTTCCATTATGGGGGCTCCTACCCTAAGACTTTGCTTTGCCACAGGTCTCATTCAGCCGACGCACTGCCTTTAACAGAAAATTTCTATCCCTTTCTTTCTACTTACTCCCGTGTTCGTCTCTTGAACATTATTTAACTCGAATTCACCCTTTGATTTACCCCTAAATCTATTTCTTAACTTTGAGTTTCATTATTGCATCTATATATCAATCTGAACATCTCAGGGATAGCAATAGGGAATGGCGTAATCCGCTGCCACTAACAGTGCAATTCAAGGCGACGCAACGCAAGTGGTCCTCAGGACATACCGCAGCGGAATGCGGCTCAGCTTTGCTCCGTAACGCCTGCGCGTCCCTCCCCCCCCCCCTTCCCCCCTCCCCCCCCCCCCTCCCTGAGAGACCCTACTAAAGTACATACTGCTATACATTGCAATATTCTACGCCGAGGGCTACCCGCACGCCACGATGAGGCGACGGACCATAGTGGGGAGGGGGGGGGGCTTAATAAACACAACATTCTCAATTGCAAAACGAACTTGTCCATCTCCAAGAATTGATAGATAGTTTGCAAGGAACTTTGAAAGCAAGCCACTTACCACTAGTACCAACAAATTGGTAAATTTTTGCTCGAAGAAGCAGGCATGAAGAACGAAGGAGACCCATTCTCTCTTATTTTGAATGACTGCTGAGGAAAAATACAAAGATAAGTGTAAACAAGTTTTATTGTTATTCAATAAAGAGTTTATTTGATATAATTCACGAACTGGTTATATTGTGTTAAATTTGAACATTTAGGTGACGCTTTCCAGTATGCCCCTACTCGCATGTGTAGGTGCGCAGTGCATGCAGTGCATCTATATCTTCCTCCGAAACTCGATCCCATTTTCTCAGAAGGCCACCTATTGCAGGACAATGAATTAAATGACCGCTCATGCCATCTTCATAAATGAGTCCTACAAGTATGCACAAAAGTTTGTTGGTTCAGTGTTCTAACTGTGTTCATAACTGAAAATATGTAAAATTCAATCTTTCATCCCTAAATATTCTTTACCTGACAAAAGATATTCCTGGCCGAGTTCAAGTTCGAGTCCACAGCGCTCAGGTTGTGAAAAAGATGTAAATTTTGTGGGAAGCTCAGACAGTCGCTCAGGCATCTGAAGATAAGGCTTTTTTCCAAGTCAATCAAATTTGAAAGACTGGAGTGATGTGCTTGCAAAAAAGTTTTCGAGGATTTCACAAGATAAATGGCGCTGAAAATTCTACGGTAATAGCTCAAAAAGTTTTGAAGTTTCACAAAATTGACTGCTTTATTTCAAATTCTTTGAATTACTTCACAGGATAAATTTACAATACAGGGCACCAACCTTAAAGACTTCCATATGTTCTATTTCATACTGGAATTCCCGTCCACTTTCTGTAAATTTGGAAACGACTTTCGCATGGCTCACTGGAAAGGAAGACTTCTCTGCTACTACACAAACATGAAATCGAAAATGTGAAAACCCTTTGCCTACCGAAATCTACTTTGCAAAATGCTTTTTCCAATGATTGGAACCCATTGCACGAACAGGCATAAGTAATCGTGACAGAGGCAAGTAGAAACGCAAGCTTCCTCATCTTCACTACTAAAATTCAGTAACTTAAATATTTATATTATTGCTTTCTGTAAGAATATCATGTTCTTGAGGGAAAGATGTTAGGGAAAGTAGCAGTGCCAAGATGTTAGTGTTCTGGTTAACGAGTCAGATATGGTATAAGGCTCTGCGTAATCGCGAGGGCGGCCCTCGCATAAGCAGGATGTCTGTCACAAACATAGATGCGATAGGTGGAGAAATTTCTTTAACCCCCTTCACTTTAGAGCCGGCATCTGGCTGACCACTTCCACCTGAAGTTGAGACTTGAATCAAGGCATAAGGGCAGAATCAAACAGCTGTTACAACGGCACTTGCTGTCAGCGTTTTGTTAAAAAAACGCATGCTTTAGACCTTTTGCGCACTCAAAATGGCCTTGATAACGAAGCATAATCATAAATTTAAAGAATATCTAATTTTTTGAATAATTAACATTGTATTAATAAATGCACACTGTCGCAAGAAAGAGTGGAGCAAGAGTGGGAAATTTGGACCAGCTAGTGATGGATGCATGTTTACTTACAAGAATCGTACCATATCTCCTTTCACAGAGAGAATAATAACAAATAAGAGAATCCTGCTTGAAAAGATAATTATCTAGAATTGACTGATATTGTAGCTGCTCGTATCTCGCTTCACAGAAAAGCTATGAAAAAAGAGACAGTCTACGTCGATTTCTTGTGTTCTTAGCTATCGAATGGTATATAAAGTGTTGGTGTAGAAAGTCCCAGACCAAAAAAGTCTTGCTCCAGCGATCCATAGAAAGCCGGAGCGTATAGTGGAGCAAGTTAGTATTGAATATCCCCACCTCATTTTTAAAAAGCCACAAGTTCTTCCACCCAACAGCCTATATACCATTAGAAAGCCCACAAAAAAAGGATTCGACGTAGGCCGTCGCTTTTTCTCTAGCTCCCCTTTATCTAGAGATACATGACATTTTAGCTAAAAACATGTGTGCTTTTATCAAGAAATCTCTGCGTGAAGAATGAGGTGCCTGATTTTCTAACAGTATCATAGGGCAAGACCTTGCCAGTAAACGTAGACCGTCTCTTTTTTTTCTAGCTTTTTCCTTTCTTTCAGAAATAGAGCTTAAAGTGATTGCATAAAATCAGCTCATGCTAGAACTCGATGTGATTTTTTATATCTGTCACAGGAGAGGTGAAAAAAAAAGAGAGGACTACGTCGATTCTGCATGTTCTAAGCGAATGGTATGTCGACTGTGAAACTTGGTCAGCATTCATCTCAGGTTCAATTACCCCCTTTACTTTTCTGAGTCAGAAATAGCCAAAACCTCCTTCACCTGGAGGGGACCCTGCTCCCCCTATCGCACCTATGGTCACAAGGCCTCAAACCAGTTCAACAATCCCCTATTTGAAATCGTTTCAGGTAATTAGAAGCTGACATCCATTAGCAGAAAAGGTTGAAATAGGTGAGGGAGCTCGAATGCGCATGCAATCGCAGATTCACTGGCTTTCGCGATCACGCAGGGCTCCATAAGGCTGGAAAAGCACCGGTACAACTCAAAAAAGGGAAATGAGCCGAACTGCTGCCCCAGCTGGAACTTTCTTAACATAAAGAGGATATGTATATACGTACACACTCATATATACTTATACATTCAGTTCCATCTTTGCCAACAAGTCAACTCAAACAGACTTCTCAAACTTTAAGCGCGACCTTCCACAGTGCTTAAAATCAAGATATGTTTTCAACTCTTTACCTCCGTCGATATCTTGGATTTCCAAGCACTACAAAAAATACTGTTTACTGCCCCCAAGCACCCATTGTGGTATATCCATCCTGTGACTAAGAGACTCGGAAATGCTTTGCATCATTGTCAAAACAAGCTTGAACGGGTAGTTAATGGCAGTGTCTCATCAAACTGGGGTAGTCAACTCCACACATTCAACTAGAGGGCCCTTGAATAAGCCATGGCAACATCTTCGACTCAGTTTGGCCTGCACATGCTGAGAAAAATGCGCTCAAATGGTACGCGAAGAGGTACATTTTCAGGGTCTCGCACAAGCTGGCACGAGCAAACTGGATATCGTTTTTGTGGCCAAAAATTGGGACGCTCATTTTGAGTCGACGTTTTGTTTTATTAAGTATTTTTTACGTTTAGGGTTTAGAGTCAAAGGGGACATTGTAAAAGTTAGCCAAAGTCAAGCGGGGATTCGTTTTAAAATTTCACCATTGCCAGCTTCTGAGGTCTCGAGCAGAGTTGAGCAAGAGCTCAAGCACAAGTCGTTCAAAAACGACCTTTCCTCCCCCCCCCTCCTCCCCCGCTCAAAGACCCCAAACGACCCCTTCTTCCTCCTCTTCACCTCCGGAATCTTAGGGCCGCATGCACTACATTCCCGCGGGAGGGAATTACAGCTTAAAAGAAAGCTTCATATCCTGAAGCTCTAGATATCTGGATTTCACGTTTTGTACGTAATCGTAAGTATTCCTACCACCCTTCACTATGAACACATTGCATGGCAGCGAGAAGCTGTACAAGACGCAGTTTCCAGCGATGATCCTCGGCGAAGAACAAGTGATGTATCGGAGTCATGAAAATCGCGATGAACCACAAGTCGAAAGGTGTGGTTTATCGAAAAATTCGATTTTTTCAAAACTCATTTGTTCTCATCAGTTACATGCTTAGCACTGCTTAGATAATTAGTACAACTTTTGCAGGTTTTTGTTAACTTCAAAGAAAGAAAAATGACTTCGAAGAAAAGCGCCGGGGATCGTCAGGGATCATACAAAAGCTGGAAAATGCGGCTTGTACAGCTTCTCGCTCCTGCCAATATGTTTATAGTGAAGAATAGTAGGAATACTTGTGGACAGGTAGACAGCGTGAAATCTAGATATCTGAAGCTTCAGAATATGAAGCTTTCTTCCGAGCTGCGATCCCCTCCCTAGCGGGGTTGTTATGCATGCGGCCCTCAAAGTGTGACATTCTGGAGTACATGGTACTGTTTTAAAGGGTTTCTGAGTTATGAAAATTGTACGACCGACTTTCTGTGACTGCACATTGCAAGCACTCGCAATTTGACGGCGACTCTGATCTGATTGGGCCTATTAAAAGAACGATAATTTCCTCAGGGGTAAGGCGCTTGGCTCAAAAATTTCGTGGTGGCAAGAAGAGGCTATGAGCTTAATACCCATGCCAAGAAAGAGCGATATTGATTTTTGAAGACAAGTTAAAAAGTCAGGCACAAGAATACAAAAGCTGGCAGCCTACCCTTTTATGGGGTTGTGCCTGACCTCATTTACTTTATCTCAGAAGAAGTTTTTTCACCCAATTTTTATGTGACTCGTAGCACAAACCTCGAAGATACCGTAGATATTTGAGTTTACCTCAACCTATTTTGGCTTTGTGGTGATTCGTTGGTTGAAGCCAGAGGTGCGATGGGAGGAGCCGGGCCCCCAAAAGTGAAGGTGGTCCCAGCTACCACTGGCTGGCCAAAAGTGAAGGTGGTCCCAGCTACCACTGGCTGGCCAAAAGTGAAGGTGGTAGTGTCGGACACTCACCTCTCAAAAATGTCGACGGGCGGGGGGGGGGGGGGGAGGACGGACGGACAGAGCTATCTTTCTAGGTCGAACTGGTGACCCAACGGCCCTCTTTAGGGCCACAGATACGATGAATATTAAAAGTATTTATAAATTTCATTTATAAAAATTTAAAATAGACGTGTTTACTAAATGGTGTATTTGGAAGTAAAAGTTTGTTGGACTGTACGGATTTTATTAAATAAATTTTGTCATAACATACAGCGAAGGAAGTAGGTCGATCTAGGCAGTAATCGCCGATAACCAGAATTTTGAATATTTGAATAGTGAAAAATCATGCGAAATTTCCACTGTTATAGATCTATTATTTAAAGATGTCAGCAGTTGCGACTTCATAGGTTTCAAAGAGTAAATGGTGCTTTATCAGCAAGTGAAAGAATCGCGTGGATTTGAGAGATAGTCGTTGAAAACCAGAATTCTAAATATTTACGCCATTGCGTGTTTTTTGACAGTTGACAGTTAAACTCACCTAAATCTTGAAACTGAAAGTGTGTGATGTTGCGACTTCATAGGTTTTTTAGAGTAAGGCTTGCCTTATCTGAATGTATCTTAGCCGTACCGATTCACTGAAACAGTGCCGAGATCCAGAGTCTTGAGAAAGGAGGTAAAAAAGCGCTTTTTGGAATTTAACAGCTCATAATTTCATCAGAACTGCATGAATCATGTTGCTACTTCATTGATTAGATTCTTCTCATCAAGAGCTTTCCGACGATATATAATATGTGGAGGTTTCGAGCCTCCTACGAGTTATGCCCGTGGGGGAGCCTTTTCATACCAGAGTCTCCCCCCTCCAATACGTTGAAGTGGGCTAGGAGGAGACTCTGGTATGAAAAGGCTCCCCCCACAAGCACAATTCGTAGGAGGCTCTAAACCCCCACATATTATGCATCGTTTGAAAGCTCTTGATAAGGAGAATCTAACCTATGAAGTCACAACATGATTCATGCAGTTCTGAAGAAGTTATGAGCTGTCGAAATTCAAAAAGCGCTTTTTTACCTGCTTTTTCAAGACTCTGGATATCGGAGGTATTTCAGTGGATCGAAACGGCTAAGACATGTTCTGATAAGGCAAACCTTAGTCTACAAAACCTATGAAGTGGCAACATCATACACTTTTACTTTCAAGATTTATATGAGTTTAACTGTCAACTGTCAAAAAACACGCAAAAATGGCGTAAATTTTTAGAACTCTGGTTTTCAACGATTATCTTTCAAATCCACTCGATTCTTTCACTTGCTGATAGAGCACCATTTACTCTTTAAAACCTATGAAGTCGCAACTGCTGACATCTTTAAATAATAGATTTATAACAGTGGAAATTTCGCATGATTTTTCACTATTTAAATATTCAAAATTGTGGTTCTCGGCCGTTACTGCCTAGATCGACCTACTTTCTTCGCTGTACGTTATAACAAAATTTACTTAATAAAATCCGTACAGTT